AAGTGGGAGGGAGAGAGTTGGAGAGAAATGGATTCAAAATCGACTCTTGACAATATAAGCAGCTATACAATTCGGTGTAAATTATGCATACACTGAGTAAATGCACCTCCTAACCCTGAGCCTCAGTTCATCATTAATGATTCATTTCAAAATGCTCCAACTTCCATGGGAATGGCACATTCATCAGTATTTACCAGGTCACACAAATGCAACCCTGATATTCAACTTTGCTTGATTGTTTCTTTCCTGGCTGCAACCATTTGATATGTGTAAGTGTGTGAACATAAAACTGCAGAGGGTAACTGTGTGTGTGTGTGTGTGTGTGTGTGTGTGTGTGTGTGTGTGTGTGTCGGTACATACCTTGTATGAGTATAAGACTTTGCAGGTTAGCGGGTAGTTTCGGAGGGTTCCCGAAGGGCTAGAGCTGCTGTCATCAAAAACCTCCATATTCTCTTCATACTCCTCACCCTCCTCACGCTCCAAGTCCACTGTGCCCTTTAAAAACCAAACAAACACAGCCAGATAAAGGCAAATCCTCTGATAACTACAAGGACAAATAAGAAAAGCTCCATTCACCTCTAAAGCTACAGAGATTTACTCTGGATCAGATAAACAAAAAAATTATCCAAATACACAACACAATGTGGTTTCTATATGAAGGAAGTCACATATTGAACTTAAAATATCAGAAGATAAAGTTAACCTCTCCTACAGGAGCTTCACAAGTTGGCCGAAATGCTCACAAGTTTGGTAAGAGAAATGACAACTGTCTGGCTTTAACTCTCCTGAATTCATGTATCTGAGCTACGTGAATTATCAACTTCTGCTCCCACCACCTTTTCTGATCTTGTTCACTAGCTGCAAGGTCGGTTCATTTACCCTAGAATAACTTTGCCTGTAAGCATTTCCTGCCTCTTTGCTAGTATAACAAACCTATCTATCCTAAACAACACTGACTTCCTTACCTTTTCTTCCTGCCTGAGTTTCTCTGCCCTGCTCAGTGTGGACACTAGCTTTTAGACACAGGTGTGGAATGACTATTGTTTCATATGATCCAGCCCTCCCTCTTTTGTTCCATCAGAATTTCACTGGCTTATATGAAGGTCACATGATCTAGCTGGTAGAAAAATCCATCACACACAGAACGCCGAACTAGCCATAACAACAGAGTGTGTTTCTCTATGTGCGTTCACATGTGTGTGTTTATCTGTTCCCAAGTCATTGTGTTCAGTCATCAGATTTCTGTTGACACAGTAGACTCTACACGTCAATGCACAACAAACAGATTTTTACTATATAAGCTTACCTACCAAGTTGGTCCCTAAGACAGATTAAGTAGGGAAATAACCTTCATCCATTCTCTAATAAAAACAGTTTTTTAAGTCGGCTCTCTGGAAGTGAACTGAAATACATGCATGCTCACAATGAAAAAGCAAACACTGCTAATGTTTAGCAAATATGTTTACCATGTTCACTAGTTTAGTTTAGCGTGTTAACATTCAATAAGTAAAGCTGAAGCTGAAGGAGCTGTCATTAGTTTTGTAGGTATAAAGCAAAATACTGGTCCAATTAAAATTTTGTCCTGATTGAATAGTCAGGGGGTCACTATGGTTAACACAATTCATCACAAGGGAGACATGAATGTATGCACCACATTCAGTAGTTCTGGGGAAATGTTTGTACAAACCAAGTCAAGCTCATTGTGGCCAAAGGAAAAAAAAAATTTGCTTGAGTAAGTAGGATTCATCCTCTGTGGACCATGAATGTCTTGAGTAAAATGTTATGACTGCAATGAATTTGCCTAAATGTAACAACTCCTTTTCCAGCACTACCAGTACAGTGACAGTAGGCTTACACTGTAAACAGGGACACAGCCATGGAATATGTAACCGGGCGGAGAGATAGGATTTAGAGAACAACTTGATGTCCAAGTCCATATGTTCAGATTTGGTGGTGAGACCATATTTTTATTATGTCACTTCTATCCAGTTGTGAAGTGTAATGTAACATTCCACTTCCAGGCCCAAACTCCCTCAGACCCAAATGGCAGAGCCCGTCACAATAACATCACTTTTTTTTTTTTTAATGAGGCATCAAGAGTTAAAAAAGAAGAAGAAATTCTTTCAACTCAAATAGTGTAGCTGTTCTACTTGGTGGCATAATAACTGTACTTAGTTACATGTAAATTTATTCCAATATATACTGTGTTATATGTATAACTTGTTTTTAATAGTTCCCAACTTTGACTATTTACACTGATAAGTAATGGTAAATGTATAGTGTCTACGTTAACTTTGTGCTAACTAGCCATCTAACATTACAAGGCAGCAAAAAAAGCACACTTTTATATGATTTCAATAATTTTATACAGTTTATTTAAGAATCCTGTCACTTGCCTAATCAATTGTAGCCATTTCTTTTTCACCTTACCACAAAGAAAGCAGCATGACAGCTGACCCGTGATTTTTGATTCAGATCAACACACAACACTGCACCATACTGAATTGAGGAGAACCAGCCGAAGTTTGGACCTGGAAATGGAATGTTATGTCACTACCTAACAAACGGACTGAATTTACAGTATTGATTGAAGAACACACTGCACAACCTGAGGGCCAATTCCATTCCAACTCTGAAGTAAAACAAGCAGCAGGTATTGCAAGTAATAACCCAATAAAACATGACCAAAAATACATCTCAGTGTTTGTACCACTACAGCTGAGATATAGACCAATGGCCAATGTTATTGGTCCTGAAGGTAATAATTGTGAAAGCGGTACTCTAATGAAGGCAGTTGCTGCCTGTGGCCCTTCAGGGTTCATGGCTTACTGTATTTGATAGTCCCATTAATAAAAGTTGAGTGGAATGAAGAAAGGACTGAGCAGAGTGCCTTTTCCCAGGTCTCATTATTTTTCTGTAGCCTCCTTCCTTATTCAGCATCCATTCAGCTGTTCTTCTCTCTCTCTCTCATTGTCAGTCACTTCTTGACCTTTCCATAATCAGCAAACCACTGTAACAAATCCCTCCCACTGTTTTTCTCTCCTCCATCTCTCTCTTCATTTCCTCTGTTGCATCTTGTTATTATAATCTCTTTCCTTGCAGCTGTCAGTCTCTTCAGGCTCCAGTATGCTCCAAGTAAATGCAAAGGTTGTAGAACTGCCAAAAAAATGCCTGAATGCTCAGTGTGTTTCCTGGTCTGCTGAGTAGTTTTCAGCAACTTTTCAGCCTCCAGCTGATTCATCTTACAAATAGGGCATGAACACCCTTTTAAATGCAGCTCCAAGGAACATAAGTAAAATTCAACAATGCCCACAACATTGACTACTGACCACTGACTACTTTCAGGTAACGAAGTATTTAGATATGTAAATGTATCAAGCAATAGAAAGGTTTAGCACAGTGACTGGAGCTAAAGGCCGTGCCTACTGTGGCCTAGTAGTATGTTCTTCTATGTTCTCTGCAGTTTTTTATACCCCCCGTCGCTCTCACCTCTGCATCCAATTTTACTTCAGCATTATCAATCTGATGATCCTTCCCCCTCAACATCACACCACCTCTCGTCTCTCTACCACACCCTCTTTCACTTCATACCTACCTCTTTTTTTCCATTTATCTCTTCCTAGACTGCTCTCTCATGATCTCTGCCAGCTTTCTCTTTTATCCTCATGCTCAGTGCTGTCTTTCTCTGTTAACTGCAATATTATGTGAGCAGAATGTCAAGTCCTTCCAGTGGAGCAGACTATGTTTAGTCCTATTGACAGACATACACACACATCTCAGCACAAAGTCTTATGTGGAATTATATACACTTACCCAGTGGACAGCCATGCACAAAATGCATAAATGCCCATAACTCACATATACATTATTGATTATGCATAAATAAAGACTATCAAATCTAATTTTAAGAAAAACATCAAGTAAATTCATCAGGGTTATTATTAGCACTTTGATAGACAGGCACATTGTGTTCTATAAACTACCAAAGACAATAAGGAAAACACTTAGCCTTGCTCTGCCCAGACGTACCAAAATCTACCTACCAACATCTCTAATGCTCACGGGTGATGATACTTTTAAACATCTTAGAGAGCGTCTTAGCTGTTTCCCCTATTTTCAAAATGTATGCTAAGCTAACCAGCTTCCAGGTCTAATTACCAATTTACATTACACAGAAGAGTGGTATCTTCTCATCTAACTCTCAGCAAGAAAACAGATTAATGTATTTACCAAGTAGCTAAACTATTCATTCATAGTGTAACATAGGGTAGGAAAAATGCCAATTTACTATTGCCTATAATGAGGGAAGTGGGATGTGCAACTACAAGTCAACCTCCTCTCTGCTGAGGTGCATACACTGCATCGTACATGCTCATTAGCATAAGATGTTAAAAATGGTCTCTTCAAACTTTATACAATATCTGTACTCAGTCTGTTGCGCCATTAAAGCCAAGGGTCATAAAATAAAAACAGCAAATTGTGCAAAGACTACGTCGGTATTACACAAAGGAAATGGGGCTTTTAAGAGGCTGAAACTAGTGTGACAGATGATTAGATAACAGGAATGAGGTCAGTTATCTTGCAATTAACATCAATCAGGGTGTGATTTGCAGGGGAGGCCTGTTCTAGCGGGGCGGCATTCACCTATAATGATGTCATAAAGAATGAAAAGTCCATGATTCAGTGCTTTAGAGTTGACAGCTTTGAATGTGCTTAATCAAGTGCAGTGTTCATGTAAAACATCATGCTGGAAAGAGAAACGAGCCAATAGAAGTATGTGACTTACATACACTGACATAATTCAGTGATCTGACGTAGAGTAAATTTAAATTTAATGGAGAAATAACTCCGGGTAGCGGGTCGGGTCCGATAGAGCTTTGTGGTGCAGGGTGAGTGCAGGTTTTCGAAACTGGACCTGTGCAGGACTCTGGTCTGATGGTTTCCATTTAAAGTGTGTAAAACAGGCACCATGTATACAACATAGACAGTTATGATTTATGTTGTGTGGTCTCTCACTTCTGATTTGTAGGTAAGAGATGTGCACTTTCCAGCCAAGTTAAGAACTCCTGCAAGTGAGCCGACAAAAAACATTATGCATATTTCCGTGTTAGCACGCTGGCAGCGGGGTTTGTTATGTTTACAGTTGTGCTGTTCATTAATGTGTACAATGTTTTCACATTTTATTAATAAACTTCCGTTTTTGTGAATACAGGTAAAGCTCTGCTGGCTTGGCAAGAAGACAGCAACATAGGCACAGTGAGGAGAGATGGCTCACCGACAGCGACGGATCGTGGGAAGTGTAGCTGGCCCAACGTTCATTCTCCAGCTCCTCCATCACCTATAGCATGCACAGGGATTGGGGGGGTTTATACACATATTGCCAACAGGCACACTCATACGCACACATAATGCAATATTAAAACTAGAATTTGTGTGTGAAAGGATATAAATATACAGTACACACACTCCAAAAGTTGTCAGGCAGAGACAAGAGTTGCATGCGCGCACACACACACACACACACACACACACACACACACACACACACACACACACAGATAGGTTTGCATTCCATGTGGAGACTTTGCATTGACTCATATTTGTTTACTGGAGACTTAACCCAACCTAACCACTTTGAAATTACATAGTGGGGACCAGTCCATATGAGCATGGTTGAGTCCCCGTAATGCATGTGTAAACAGGCCTCGAGTAATACTGGGCATGTGCGCACACGCATACACACACACACACACACACAGATAATTCTCCAGCATTCACAGGCAAAACACACCTGGTTCATAGCACTCTTCAGCCAGGTATCGACAGCAACCCCCACTTGCCGCAGAAGATCCAACCGAGCCTCAGCTTTCAACTTTATTGTCTTTGGAGAGAGAAGGGGCAAGAACACAAAATATATAACTGGCCTCCATAGTTTTCTTGTATCAAAAGATACAAAAGATCTTTTTTTCCTTTTTTTTACAACTTGGGTCTTATTTCATTTAAAACAGGGACCTGTCTAACTGTCCTTATTATGGACACCAACGTAAACCTTTGTTTAACAGAGCCATGGAGCCACTGTGTTCCCAGATCACTACAACTACCTGCTGAGCAAAACATTATCATGACTTTTAGGAATGATGGACTAAACTATTGAAAGTAATAGACTGTAAAAATGTTGTTGTTTTAATCTAAATAAAAGGTAAGAGTCTTAAATGTCTTACAGTCAGGCTAAAAGTAACAGCAGGTGTTAACCAGACTGATTACTACACTGGTGGCAGTTAATTTAGCCTTCAGGCTGCAAAAGTGTCTGACCCCCTGCTTTATATGTTTGTTTAGTGGTGGCAACTCTTTCCTAGTGCCCCCCTGTACTAGACGGATGAAAAAACATTAAATATTCTTTAGCACGGATATAGAAACAAAAACATCAGTAACAAAATAATTAGCCATTAGCAGACATCACTGGATAGAATAAGCACCCACATGGGAGCTATGTCTCAAATACAATGGATTTCTTGAACTAATGCAGGGAGGAGGACCTCGAGTGAACCTGTATACCAGAGCAGACATTAATCTACTATATATTACATGCATCACAGTTATAAAACAGGATGAGAGAATGTGAACTGGATGGATTTGCACAAGAGTGTGTCTCTAAACATATTGCACTCTGTCTTAATGAACATTGGACATTTTGTGTTCCTTCCAAATAATACAATAGGAGGCTATAATCAGTAGTAGGGAAACCCTTGAGGTTCAGTTCAATCTGTCTTGTCTCTTCAACTTTCTCTTTCATCTGTGATTCCTTTCTCACGGGTGCTGACCGAGCAGGCTGATAACTGAAGCCTCGCTTTCACAGAGAGACAGAGACACTGTCAAGACAGACTCCCTGGCTTTGATCAATAAAGACCTAAGGCCCTTAAGTGGCTCAGTTTCCCCCCCTATCTGTCAGCAGCACCCAACAAATGCTAGCAAGAAGCTTCAGCCTTGGTTACTGCTCTTTTGAACAATGAATCATAAACACACCAGTATAAAGGAGGATTACAAAGGAGAAATGTTAAAATATTGGCCAATATACTGTCAGGAATTGGTGCTCATAAGAACGTGTAACAGTATAATCTTTACTTAATTACAACAAAATAAGCAGCCAGTGGTGTGAGCACAGATTGTTGGTGGAAAGACCACAGAACAGCAGACAGAAAGACAGTCTGGCTGGGTAGCTGGGATCAATAAAACCAACTGGGAAGTAGACAGAAAAACAGAAGGTGATAGAGACAGGCAGAGAGATACTATTACTGTCTGGCTATAATGAATATTGAACTATTTTTTATTATGGCTTAAACATTAAGAATTCTGATGCTCTTTCAAAGTGCTGCAACTAGGTGATTCTTTGACCAAAAGATGAACTTGCTGGGAGAAGCTATGACATATTCAGTATGTGATATCCATTTGAAACAATAGATTAAAAGAACAGAAGAAGCTACATACTGTATGTGAGGTAGTATAACTGGGCAATTGCTACCAACATGTACATCAACTGTTTCATAGCTATATAAGCATCATTAACTCATTGGACTGGTCTGTTTTTAGAGACAATATGTGCACTGTGTTTATTAAACAAAACATATGCTACATGTGCACAATGTCTTGTGACTGTGTCCATGTTCTATTTACCAAAAGGTGTTTACATGTCAATGGAGACACAACTGAGCCTAGAAAGCACTCAGACAGTGCAAACTTCTGCCTGTGAAATTAATTTTGGAGAGAGACATGCACGGTCTCTAGTTTCAGTCTTTTATCAAACACTCAGACAGCGGACATAAAAATCAGAACACTATTTGCAGAGCAGAAAAAGCATAATTCTACTGTTTATTTCAGTGTTTATTGGGTCCTTTCAAAGTGAACTGAGAAAAACAGGATGCTTCAGACACCTGACTTGCATTCTGTTGTATACTGCAAAATAGATTCCCAAACAGTTTTTGTCTAGTGTTATTAATTTCCATTCCTTAATCTGTGACAACAACATTTATTATAACATGGGACATATCTGAAGGTTATGTCTGCACTGCTTATTTTGATAACATCTTCTGTGAGTATATGACAAGAAATGGAATTACATCTGATTCTTGTAAAATAAAAGGCTATAGGGTGAATAAAACAGTTTCTCAAATAAAGCTAAAACTTGTATCTTACTCACACATTCACCTGACATGTAGTAAATGATGGCCACATTTTTAGCCCAGACAGCGCTGGGCTAAAACCTCACTCTGAACACTGATTTGAAAATCATTTGGCCATCAGCACCTAAGATGTTGTCACAACCAAACTAGGTGATTTATGAAGAATCAATACACAAGAACAGGTAACAAGACCAACTATGCTATCAGTTTTTCTTAGTGGCTAGTAGCCACTAAGTAAAAATTAGAATATTACCCAGCAAACACCTTGTTCCATTGAGTTACAACTGTCCTTTAATCCACAAACTGGCTACTACTAATTCTGCATCCTATATACAACTTCATTGTTTTACTAACAAGGCGTTGCAATGGCTACTGCAAAATGCTTAATGGGTTGAAGAGAGGATGTCATGTAAAAGGAAAGAACGCACCATCACTATCAAGATGATGTAATCGCACTAAGATAATGTCTTTTGTACTGCTTTCACTCCCTTTATAACTCTGTGATAAGAGCTCTGTGATGAACACATTTGGACTAAATGAGCTGATAAAATATTTATCATCTTACTCAGGCTGGCCTGGAAGAGCAAAAAACAGCAGGCGGACAATGTGAGTGTGAGAGACTGAAGCAAAGAGGAATGGAGAGAGGGCAGGAGAAAAGTGGTGTAGTCACATGTGTGCAATGAAAAGATCAATTCTTTTGTAAAAAGTGAGATTACAAGCTACAGATAGTGTTGCTAAAATATTACGGCAATGTAAGGCAGATGGAATTAACAACAGAAAAACAAGTGTAGTTATCACTAACAGCAGTAAAATTAGATAGGATAGCATGAATAACAATTTACAAAAACATCTTAGGGTAACATCAGGAACGCTGTCAGCAGAGGGTGCCAGATACATGAAAGCCAGATACAGTGTTGTGGCAAAGAGGCAATGTTACGAGGAGAATGAGCTAAGTGAAGGAAGAGGAGGAAACTGAAGAACAAATGGAAAGTTATCAAAGCCCAGATACAGAGACTTTTTAGAGAGAATGGAATGCATGCAGTAATCTCATTCAGCGTGTGACAGGTTGAATCTTTCAGAACGAATACAGAAATGATCGATATCACTGCAAATGGAAACGCTAGGAGGTATAATAAAAAAGGAGGGGTGAACATGCAAAAAGAAAAAGTGCAGAGAAGGAAGGAGAGACTGAGGGGTTGATGGGAGAGCTAAAAGAGCAAGAAAAATAAGACACCACTTGTAGTATTATACTTGATAGATTTGAGATTTAAGTATAAAGCTGTATTGCTGTCACACCTGTGCAATATAAACAGGAAGCTGCTGAGACAGACATAACTGTGCAAAAATATGTTAAAGCCCTTACAACTGAACAGCAATGCAGAAACAGAATACTGGCCTTTGTGGATAAGAGCAGTCAAATGACTTATTTGACATCTCCTACGATGTGAAAGGAGGACCGCTCAGTCCTGGACCGTGTTTGTTAATGCTACGTCAGCTGTGCTGACGAGCAGACTAGAAACCTACTCCCACTGTTTATATTCAAAATATGCACCAAATAAGTAGTCACTCACTCCAAGCACTGTAGAGGAAATATGATGAACTGTATGCAGCCACTGGGACAGAGGGTTTGTTTGCTAGGCTAATGCTGTATTAATGTTACAGCAGGAACTAAGTCTACAACAATACGCATTTCAGTAGCAAAAAAAGGGGGAAAAAAAAGCTTTACATCTTTTTGGCAATGATGTCAACATCATTTTATTCTTCTTTCTTTCCTTTATTTCTAAAAACATCAATATAAACCTGAAGAAGAGTGTCAATCTCGAAACTTACAGCTGGAGGTTGGAGCCTTGCCTAGGCAGGTAGCCAGTCTGTTACAGAGCTGACATGTTGACAGATAACTATATTCACACACAGTTCAGAGATTCTGATTCCCCTGACCTTGCATGACTTGGATTGTGAGAGGAAAATAGAGGACCCAGACAAAATCCCTTTGAACATGAGGAGAACGTTCAGGGTCGAGTTTAAACTCAGATACTAAAACAACAGCGCTAAGGGTAAGTGTCCTGTAAATTATCTTCCGCTGAATAGTTTTTCAATTAAAAAATGAATGCTGACAATATGAGTCACAGACCTCAGCTTTGCGCATGTTTTCTTTGGTGTCTTCTATCTTCAACTCCAGATCTAGTCTGCCCTGCTCTGTGGGGGGCAAGCCGTGGCTCTCGCACTCCTCCAGAGACTGAAAACAACACATACTTGATTCATTTTCACATACTGTGTTTCTAAAATGGACACAAGTGATGCATTGTGGGTATGCGAGTGTCCATCTTACTCGCTTGCAGTGAATGATGTTTTTGTGTTCTCTGGCCACTCTGGTTGCCCATTTCCTGGCTTCCTTGTTCAGGCTGTGCTCCTCCGTTGTTCCTGTCTCCGACTCCAGCTGACGACTCTGATGCAGACAAACACACACATACCAAACATTTATAGGCAAATTCACACATTTACCCAGATCCACATACACACCATCATAGCAGTGCACACATAAGTGCGGTGTCAGCGGCAACAGCACAAGGTGTGTGATGTGCAGATTTGAAGCTGTTAATTAACTGCTATTAAAACCATGAGTGTGTGAGAATGTCTATGTGAGTGTGTTTTTGGGTGCTACCAAGTCAGAGAGCAGTGCACAGATATGAGAGTCTGTCAAAAGAATTTCTATGGCTTTCCAACAAGGCTGCCGTCAACAATTACAACCGTGTGGCAATTCTTCTGAAAAAGATTTATTAAATGTGTCTCAAAGTACAAACCCAGTCACTAATCCACCATTTAACAGCCGTTCCAGCACACATTTTATTTCAAACTTACTTTGTAATCAGCTTCTTATTATGAGAAAGATCACATGAATGCACAATTTAGGCCAGTTTAAAACAGTTTTGCTTATTTCAAATGAAAGATTTCTGTCTTTTATCTGCACTTTAACTCACTGGTTTGAAAAGGACAGGACTTAATTTAAACAGGAAATATCATTTACCTTTAAATCTAAATCTGATGACAGTGTGTGGAATAGTTGGTCACCGTCAGTCAAATTCTAATGAAACACACCCACACATTCGTGGTGAAGCAGGTTGAGCTTTGGATGATTCAATTCTTAATTTATAACATCTGCAAAGCTTTTACTTTTTTCTCATTACTCGTTTATATTTCAGACTTTAAAAGAACAAAAAGTATGTAATTGTTTCTTTATTTAAATTGGTTTCTCAAAAAGTCAGTTTTTAGGTATTTGTGGAAATGACAATTATACCTAACATTTATATAGTGTTTGTAAACTTAAAAAAAAGAAAGAAAAATAAAAAACTAAGCCTCAGGATGTGCATAAATTCAGTATTATTTATGAGACCTAAGCGACTAGGGTTCCCATAGTCTGATAATAAAAATGTGTTAACCAGACTGAACTACATGATATTTTAATAGCATGTATCCATGCACATCATACCTATTGATTGTGTGCTGCTTCAGTAACAAGAAGGCATAAATCTGGCTAACTACAGGTGTGAAACAAAGGGTATTGCACAGCAGATTTTCAGCTTAATTACATTCTGGTGAGGGAGTACTGAAGGGAGTTAAGGCAGAAAACTAGATGTGAACAGTGGTTCTAAACTGATATGTCACACAGGGAGCCCAGTTCATTTTTGCCTTGATAGTGTGTTAAAAGTATTGGCATAATGTTTATGAAACAAAGAGAGTAAAACCATTTCTTTCAGGTGTCCTACCAGTGTGCATCTACTTGTTGTAGGGAAATGCTATATACTAGGAACCTTCTCCTTGCGTGTGATCTTTAAGTGGCTTTTTGTGATGCTGTTTGTTAAGATTCCTCATTCTGTACATCAGCTTTAGGTTCATTCCTAAAGCATGCTGGTAAGGCTCTAAAAAGGCAGTGTAGTGCATTGCCATTTACATGGCACAAAACAATATACTGTATCTTTTATTTTCAATTATTATGATTTTGGGGGGGATTTAAGACTTACAACTCACAGACTGTTACTCAGATGGCATAATAAATGTGTTAATGTAACAATGGCAACTATTCATTAATCATATCTAGGTCACATGATAATGAACCATTAGCAACTAGTCTAAATGTGATAACAGGCCAGATTATTATAAGATGCACATAGGTGGAATCTTGTTGT